TGCATGACTTGGTAAGAAGTAGTCAGTAGTTACTTGAAAACATAATAAAAAAAACTCGATAATTAAATTAGATTTTAGCCTAATTGATAGTATATTTAGACTAAGAAAAGGCTTACTAACTGTTTTTTTTTTTTTCAAATTGAAATTTTATTCAAAATATTAATTTTAATAAAATAATAAAAAGAGATGTGGAATAATGCTAAGCGACAGAAACTAAACGAAACACAAACAGCAAACGACATCTAGCGGCAGACAAATTTCTTCAACAATAGATAGGCGTATGTGCGATAAGACTGTGGCTAAATTTAACAGACATGAACAATGGCAATTACTGATTCTGTCTATTTCTGTTTTGCCAATTTCATTATTTGTGTTCATGTCACATTTTCTGTTACTGTTAATTTTGACCATTTTGTCGATTTAGCACTGTATTTGCTGTAGCCAGTGGTCGTAAATTAAAGAAGGTGAGAGTAATGTTCAAATGAGTCAGCGATTCAGCAACAGAAAAGTAATTTAATGCTAACAATGACACAGATCTACAAAATCGACAGGTATAAATCGTCCCGAGTCCAAATAAATTTGACAAACTGTCAAAGATCTACCATCTACAACAATTTGTTAAGGACAAAAACTCGAAGATATAACTGAAGACAATCAATAATGAGTTCCTGATTGGAGCCAATCACATTATCGTGCAACTAGTTGTCAGTACTTACAACTTGTTATATCAGTTAGGGGAAGAGCAAAATGATACAGATGATCCTATCAAAACTAAATTCGAAATATGCACTTAGCACTTTAATATCGGTATGAAAGACGACTAAAAAAAGTACGTGTTAACGACGAAGGGAATTTTGGCGCATTGATAGGACATTTTAGCGAAAAAAATCGGACGATTTAGTGCTACAGTAAAACACATTTCAGCGCCAGATTTTTAACCCCTTCTTGTGAACAGTGAGATCAATGCCCATTTAAGCTACAGAAATAAATTTAAAGAACATCATAGATATAGGAAGATGTGGTATGAGTGCCAATGAGACAACTCTCCATCCAAGTCAAAATTTATAAAAGTAAACCATTATAGGTCAAAGTACGGCCTTCAACACGGAGCATTGGCTCACACCGAACAGCAAGCTATAAAGGGCCCCAAAAATTACTAGCGTAAAACCATTCAAACGGGAAAACCAACGGTCTAATCTATATAAAAACGAGAAACGAGAAACACGTATGAACTACATAAACAGACGACAACTACTGTACATCAGATTCCTGACTTAGGACAGGTGCAAACATTTGCAGCGGGATTAAAATCATGTCCATTAAAATACAGCACTTAATGTCTAAAAAGTTAACTCAAATGTAACAATTCCGTTCTATCCTGGAATTTATATCCCAGTGAACGTACGTAATGAGCTCTTTATCTTCTCTACATATTGCAATATATTTTGTTTGTAATTTGATGACAGTATCTAGAAAAACCATCACATATTACACTTTTATCTCCCATTTGTTTCAACAAAATGCATTTCCATGTTTAACCAAATGAAAATGCAAACAACTTAAGCATTAAGCCAGCTTAAATTACTGTATGGCATTTTTTTGCTAAAATGGGAAATCGAAAATACAGGAGAACGGTTCAATTCGGCGCTAAAATGGGCTGTCTGTGCTCAAATGCCCCCAAGTATTTTAATTTTCTTTTCGCTTAAATGTCCTGTACCCTGTGTTATACAGTAGCAATTTTCTAAGAGCACAAGTTCTTGTAGACAGGTTACTCGAGGTTTAGTTGCTGCACAAGCCCTTGCATGATAGTTACGGATTTGTTCAAGTATGCATTCCACCCAACCATACAGACGTCCCTCAGCAAGACGACCTGTATGTACTTGTGTGTTCAGAAAGCCTAATATACTCCCACACTTGATGTTCATTAAGTGTACGGGTTCAGCATGATAACATTGTTGACGCTTACAGGCATCTTGGCGACCGTTGTGTAGATCACTGATTTTTAAAAGACAAAAGATTGTCAAGTTTGCAAGTATTTTTGTCAACCCTCTCACAATGCAAGATAGGCAGATAACAATTCTTATTGAAACTGGCGGGATTTTGAAACATACAAATTTTAGGCTTAACAATGGTCTTGGGGGACACACAGAGACTTCGAAGTATGAATTTAAAAAAAAAACTACGAGTCTCATCATAATGTTACTTTTCATGTTGGGGCATCGGTGGCCATTGGTATAAGAAATCCAACTACTGTATCACTAGTCTGTCAACACTGAGTTTGTGAGTTCGAATCTCGCTCATGGCAGGTGCGTCATAGTCTAATCTTGGTTGACTAGGATTATCAGTTTTCCTACCGAAGGTCGGAGGTTGTCTCCGGGCATTCCGGCTCCCTCCACCAGTAAAAACTGACCGCCACAAAATAGCTAATAGTGCTGAAAGTGGCGTTAAACACAATCAAGCAATCAATCATCTTTTCGTGTTGTTGTTTGGTTTGTGAAGCATAAATACTACATAAATATCTCAACTGTAGTGAGATCAATAGTACTTGTTTGTTCTATCGCGATTTTGTTTTACATTCACCCTGATTTAACGTCATTCTAAAACTGGTTGTTGTTCTGTCCCCAATAAATCTTCATGTGGTCTGTTCACAATTAACGTCTCAAAATGATCTTTAAGTCGAAGTATCGGATCAATTTTGATCTTGCATCATTTATTGTTGAGTGTCGATGCATATACGTTTTTATTTAATATTTCAATCATTTGGTGTACTCTGGAGATTGCATGGGTGTTATTTTCATGTCAGTAACTTGATTTCTAGCAGTTTTTATATCAAGATCAACACTTGTCAAAATAGCTATACTTTTGAAATACTTAAACAAATATTATTCGAAAAACGAAAAAATATATATAACTTCAGCTCCTGGTTTAGTCATGTCAGTTTTTCTTATGGTTCTTTTCTTACCTTGGATTTTGCTTTCTTCCATAATTTTGATTCATCCATGGAAACATATTCGAAAATCTTGATCTGCCTTAGATATATATCTATCGAATTCAGTCTAGAAGTTTACAAGAGCTTTACAATACTGAACCCTTTTTAGAATGACGACTGTAACCAGGAGGTAGATCGTTAACATGAGAAATATGCATAAATAGTTCTGCTGATCTGTATTCATTTATTTATGTCCTTAAATACAGAGAACTTAGTATATAAAATACTTACGAATGTGTTATAGTAGCCAAATATTCGGTTATTCACCTTTTGCTTAATTAAATTTGTACTCTCTGTTTCCCAAAAAGACCATAGACACTAGATACTTTTCGATAGAAAATAAATCAGTAATGATAAAATATTCTCTCACAGTATTAAAAAAAAATTCAGGTACATTGTTTATACAATTATGAAAATTATCTTTATTTTCTACTCTAACAAGGCGCATGTGAAATGCAAATGTAACACACTTTATTGTTTGATTACAGTCAAATATACAGTATAGGTTAGCTGTAATTATATTACATGTATAAAGTCGGTCCTTAGAAAACTTGAAAGATGCTTTTAAGAATTAACTCTTTTTACAGAGTTGTTGTAAAGTATAGTGATACAATAAAGTATATAAAACACAGGTATAATAGGACTTCTATTAAAAAGACTTTTTGAAAATAGTTACTTCTATTTCTTTATTTAACAAAATAAAAGAAAACAATAGCAAGCTCCAAATTTTCGTTAAAAACTGATAAAGACTTGTGTGTATGTTTTTACTATTTTTTTTGTTTTCGAATGAATGTGATACAAATCAGGAATATTACAGCGATTATCTGAAATGAACATATTTTTTACTTAAATCAGGGCGTCAGTTTTTTCGTTTGAATTGTTTTACATTTGTCATTTCGGGGACTTTTATAGCTGACTATGTGGTATGGGTTTTACTCATTGTTGAAGGCAGTACGGTGACCTATAGTTTTTAATTTCTGTGTTATTTGGTCTCTTGTGGAGAGTTGTCTCATTGCCAATGATACCAGATCTTCTTGTTTTTATATATAATATTTTCTCTTTGCAAAGTTTGTGTTATATTTTTTTCTCTGTGTTAATCTTGAGCTGAAAATGAGCCAAAGACAAAATATGTACTAGTAAAATTCAGGTGTTGTGTTAACTAAGACGTTTTTTTTTATTTTAATTGTTATTTTAATGTGCTTATTACATACACTACCAATTTAAATAAACATAGCTTAATAGCTTAATAAGTTAATATGCATTTTTTCATACCGGGCCTTATATTGATTACTATATTGTATGGGTTTTGACCATTGTTAAAGGCAGTACGGTGGCCTGTAATTGTTCACATCTTAGTCCTTTTGATCTATGAATGGTAGTACTAGTGTCTTATTGCCAACGATGCAACATCTACTTTTTATATATTGAACATTTTCTTTTTTTAGATGTGATATGTTAATAACTAGATATAAAGTGATTTACGTTTAACTTGTAGGCATTATATGTTTGAAATGATCTTGCATGTACTGCGGAAAGGTAACACATTCACTTTTTATCTCTTTTGATGGTTCATTCAATGTTCAAGAGATTTTCTATGATACCAAATTCGGTGTGTTTATTGATTGATTGATTGATTGGTGTTTAACGCCACTTTCAACACTATTGTGCTATTTCGTGGCGGTCAGTTTTTATTGGTGGAGGAAGCCGGAGTGCCCAGAGGGAACCACCGACCTTCGGTAGGAAAAATGACAATCCTAGTCAATTAAGATTGAGTCGAGTGCACCTGCCACGTGCGGGATTCAAACTCACAACCTCAGTGTTGACTGGCTAGTGATACAGCAGTTCGACTACTTAGACCACTACCCCACCGAGGCCCAGAGGCCCCTCGGTGTGTTTAAATCATACAAATGGCAAAATTATTGGAACAGTCTCTTGAAGCATCATACAGGTCGAGCATACATACAGTTACCAACAGAATCTTCACAGATCTAAAGTTTGAAAGACAGACAGATTTAGTACTCGAATTTTTATTTTTGTGACATTCTCATTTTGCAACAGAAAATTTCATGGACACTATATCAGCAAGTCCTGCTTCCATGATTTGTCCTTCTGTCACTGGCCCTTGACCGTCAGGTGTTCCTGTCAAAACAACATCTCCTTCCTCTAATGTTATATATTTACTGATGTAAGAAATGACTTCTGGGACAGAGAATATCATATCAGAGGTACTATCGTCCTGTTTTATAACGCCATCTACTTTTAACCATAACCTTAAATCTTGATAATTTGGAACTTTTTCTCTTTCAATAAAGTCGCTAACTGGACAGGAAGTGTCAAATCCTTTGCTAAGAAACCATGGCCGAGAATTAGCTTTTGCATCGTTGTGAAAGTCTTTAGCGGTCATATCTAGAGCAAGAACAAAGCCACCAATATAATCATCGACATCTGAGACAGCAACGTTGGAACATTTCTGCTTTATGACAACTCCTAGTTCAACTTCATGGAACAATAGATTACAACCTTCAGGAATCTGTAAGAAAAATAGAAACATATATTAATTCACAGTCAAGTGTATATATATTTATACATATACAGATTTTCATCCGACCAGCATGTTACTTCCACCCACACATAAAAAGCCCAAAATATACCATTTAAGTAGTGTCCCCTGTATCAAATTAATATAATTCAAGTACTAACGCTTAAGTTGAATTTCTCGTGCTGATTGTTGAAAAAGCGATACGAAATGAAAAGTTTGATAGATAATGCTTTCAGTCTTAACTTACTAAGTGATTTTCTCGAATTAACATATAAAAAATGCAAATGATTCGATACATCACGATTTAATATGTTCACGAATTGATTTCCCGCCTTTTCTACCCAACCATGTACCGTATGATGTATCATGCTTAAGCCATCGTTGAAGCCATTATTCAAAGAGTTGTTGTGATTATTGTTATGTTTTAAAAGAATTACATACACAAATTGATTGTCCTTCGGTAATATATGCAGTTGTTGGCTTTGCAAACAGGCTTGGCGTCTTCGGATTAGGTATTCCTTGAGCAGCCGTAAGACCTCTGTAAAATCAAACTTAATTAAGATTGTTTATAAGTCTTAAAACAGTGTATGTATTTCATTAAGCTTTCAAATATTCTAACAGACTTAGTCCAGTATAGCGTTTACTGGTGAGGCTTGGTGGTTTTGATTGCCTCGATTTGGACATCAATCTCTAACATTCAAACACCTTCAAACAGATACACAAAGTAGTCTACTTAGATGCATCAATTGCGCAATCAAGATTAACATGAGAAGAAAAATGATCGAGAAATGGAACTATCGTGAGTTATGGCATTAGGTGAAGTACAGTGACTCTACGAGGAAGATTATTTTAGTGTTTTTTTTTTGTATTTGTATTTAAGTATAGTAAATATGACATTGTTATAGTAGAGGCAATCAAAACCAAATAAGTCGAAGAAAGACCGACAGTACCATGGCCAAAACCAAATAAGTCGAAGGAAGACCGACAGTACCATGGCCTAAACAAATAAGTCGAAGAAAGACCGACAGTACCATGGCCAAAACAAATAAGTCGAAGAAAGACCGACAGTACCATGGCCAAAACAAATAAGTCGAAGAAAGACCGACAGTACCATGGCCAAAACAAATAAGTCGAAGAAAGACAGACAGTACCATGGCCAAAACAAATAAGTCGAAGAAAGACCAACAGTACCATGGCCAAAACAAATAAGTGAGAAGAAAGACCGACAGTACCATGGCCAAAACAAATAAGTGAGAAGAAAGACCGACAGTACCATGGCCAAAACAAATAGACAAAAAAAAAAAGCCAACAAATCACCACACAGAAAAATTGAGAAACATAAACTAATAAAATAAACCAGGGGTGATCTCAAGTGATCCTACAGGATTAACAGTTCCTGTATATCTAGAGTGACGTTACATCCGTCGTTTTACTTTATGTTATATTCTTTGGCGATAATGCTTCATACCATAGCAGATTGGTCGATGATTCTTAAGTAACCATAAGACATAACCATTTTTAAAGCATCAACATAAATCATTTATTATATATTATATATTTCACAACCATTAACATTGTCGAATGTGAAAGTTTGAAATCGAGAAGTGTTTTGTGATAAAGATGGACAAGATCATGACCGATAGAAACAACACATACATTGAACATTAAATAATCACAAGAAACAGTACAGCACAGACTTTTAAAAACTTGTATGAACTCGTTTGATCCAACTCCCTCAGACAAAGTTTACCAGAGATGGATTTGGCTATTCTTTTTGGTCTCTTTTTGTCTTATAGCTCTTCACGTATTCAAGTAATTATACATCCATCGCCTACATATGTTTTGGTTTGACAGTTCGCGATGATGGCAAATCAAGAAAAGTGAGTTGGACGCACCAAATAACAATCTAATGAAAATATAGATCTTTGATTTCGTTATACTCATTGACACAAGTTACGCTATATCCATATTTTAATTAGATTGCACCAAATAAATAAGTTGTTATTTTTATTTGATACGGATTCCTGTTCGTGTATAGTGTTTGACTACTTATTGAATATAACTACTAATAAATATTACTCTACCACATATGGATGTGGTGTACGGCGACTTATAGTTGCTTCCATGTTGGTCTCTTTCAGAACGCTCGATAGTACTACCGCTTTTTACGAGGGTTCACCTTACGAATCGTTTAGTTTGTATGGTTTTGTTTATTAACATCTCGTTTGTTTTCGAAATTGTTTCGTGTTGGTGCGTTTGTCCTACTATCTGCAGGTGTTTTTATCGTCCCTTGATCTCTGTAGTAGTCTAAAAAGGTTATCTTCCATTTTATTTTGTTCAAATCTAGATTTCACAATAATATTCCAAGTGGTTTTTTTTTGGCAGACCGAATTCTTTAAAAATTCTTCAAAAAAGTACTTTCCTTTTTTTTTACAAAATAAAGTATCATTCCAAGTTAGTCTTAAAAGTTTATTTGAGTGGATAATGCAACACGCAAACATAAAGTTGTTGTAGACAATATTCAGATCAACGTAATTTTTTAAATAACAAAATATCGCCATATTTTCATATCAAATATTTGATTAAATGTAAATTAAACGAAAAATAAATATAAAGTGTGAAAAGGGGTGCCATTGTGGCATCAGAGTTAAAATGAACCAAAAAATGAGAAATATGATATCAAGTACCTTAATGATTATTCCAGGTCCTTTGTCTCACCTGTTGAATGGTTACATCAAATAACTGATTTTTATAGAATAGAAGGTTATACTAACTTGTAGTTTCGGCAGACTGCAACTACTTTCTTCCCAATTTCTCTAAAATGTTTCAATCGTTCAGTCATCGCGATGGCCAACTACCAATGTACCATACATGTATATGAACCTGTTGATTTGTGTTTCACCTTTCTTAAATTTATTATGAATTATACGTGTTATCAATCTCAACTTTGATTATGTTATCTCATCTTAAATTATTTTGTTTGTTTAAAGGCACTCACCGTATGTCGGTTGATATCCTCAATCAAGATTTTATTAGCGGTTACAGTAAAAAAAATATTTTTAATTATGCTCTGATTTTCTAAATACTTTGGGTTACCGAGTCTTCATGATATGTTCATGATGTTATACTGAATACCTGCTGAAATCATAAGTATATCTTTAAATAAAGCTGAAAATTTAAATTATTGTTCCCCCCATGTCTATTGTTAGCTAATGTGGAGTGTTAGCTGTATATGAGGGGCCTGATGGGTTATTTTCGTTCTTCGTGATCGGCGCATTTTCGCTATCGTGATCCGTTTTTCTACAGATTTAATTTTTTTCTATATTTTCGTGATCCGTGATCATGAAAATTTATTTTTTGTGAATCGTGATTGACAAAAAAATCAACTCGTGAATCGTGATGAGACCCCCCCCCCCTCCCCCCATCAGGCCCCTCGTATATTCCACCACTAGATGAATCGTCGTCCGTTTCTGATCCATTCTTCTGGAGAATCATTTAATTTATAAAAAAAAAACAAATTTAGCAGATGAATCAATTATGTTATCAGTTTCACTGAGTGAGTTTTGTAAAGTAGTATTCTCATTTCTTGTATTTTCCCAAAAGCATGGTCAGAGAGCTTTGTTACCCTTGTTTTTTTTAAGCGGTGACAGAGCAGACACATGAACTCTTAATTTGAACAGCCTCTTCTATGTAAATGATTTTAGTACACATTATAAATCGGCAGATGGCCTTCAGACATCCGTAGTATGGATAGACTTTCAGAATATTGTAAAATGTGGGGGTTGAGTTTAATAGGAAAAAGACAAAATGTGAAGCCTGCAATAAGTTGGAAAAGGTATATTAAAAGAAATCCAATATAATAATAATGTCATAGAAAATGCCAAAAACAACCGCTACATCGGAGTTATATTTCACTGCTCTGACAGTTTTAAAGAAGTCATACAATCCAAATACCAAAAAGGCTTAAAAGCATATTTCAAACATTGCAAAGCATTTGAGAATCAAAAACCTAAGATGAAAAGTAAAATCACAAAAATACCGAACTCCGAGGGAAATCAATACGGAAAGTCCCTAATCTAATGGCAAAACCGAAAGCTCAAACACATCAGACGAATGGATAACAACTGTCATATTCCTGACTTGGTACAGGCATTTTCTTATGTAGAAAATGGTGGATTAAACCTGGTTTTTTAGCTAGCTTAACCTCTCACTTGTATGACAGTCGCATAAAATTCCATTATATTGACAACGATGTGTAAACAAAACAAACAGACATAATAGGCAAAAATGTCAAAAATAGGGGTATAGCAGTCAATATTGTGTTATAATCTTAATCACTATAAAAACAAACAAATATTTAACAAAGAAACACAAAAAGGCATACAGACAAAGCACATTCGTATAAACGAAAGACGAGAATACAAAAATCTACCATAGCACAATAACACAATGACATGTTTGCATGTATTTGACTATTTAATTGTATAGCACTAAGCTAGAGTTGGGGGATTCTCCAAAAAGATACTTCACATACAGTAACACTTTCAGCTATCATTATTATTTTTCAAAATATATATAAAAATCTTAAACAAGAAAAGTTTCCGATTTATAAATGTATATTCATATTTATTATGTGTAAATTGGAAAACTACAAATATTGATGTTATGGAAGATGTCGGTCATTATCTATTTTTTTCTAAGCTTAAGCAAGGATTTGTATAGTATACTATACAAATCCTTGGCTTAAGTTAAAATATCTTAAAATACTAGACAAATTTAAAGAACAATAGTGATGTCTTATTATCTGCATGCCATCAATGTAGACATACATAAAAAAAAACAGTCTACATAGTGTGCTGTACATAGTTTGTTGAAATACAATATAACAACAAAATTTTCTCTACAAAATTACACTTATACTCTAATATTATTAGAGGTGTTCCTGTCTATAGAAAGCTAATAAAAAGAAGAAATAGGAATCATCAGAACAGCATGAGCCGGACAAATCATCATGGCTAGGAAAAACTTCTATTCATTTTTTGACATCTTGATAAAAATACTTAAAGATTATTAAATTATAAATTTAAAGACATATTTTTTCATAGTTAAGATTGAAATATAACAAAATTTGGAAAATGAGATTTTTCTGATATGTTAAAATATTAAAGAGTAATAAATTGCGTACTGTATATAGATTGTTTGAATCTCAATTTAAATTTGAACCATATTTAGATTTCATTGTGATTTCTTTCGACTAAGTACACATAAATAAGAAATATAACTTAGAAGATAAATACCCTTTGATGTGAACGGCATAATATGAACACTTCATCATTTATACCATTTATACCAGAGACATATAATACATGCATATATGTCTCTGTTTATACCGTTTAAGATTTTGAGACGAAGTTGGGGCGAATGGATTTTTGGGCGAAAATTGACACGCTAGTTTTAAATGTGAGGGCCTAGAATTTATTAGTTCTCCATCTTCATAAAAATGGAATTTCAAAAAAAAGCCAAATAACGCACAGCAAAAATAAAAACCAGAAAAAATGTCATTTATAAAAGTTGAGTATTAGTTAGATGACATGACGAAATATTGTGGCGAATGTTTTTTGGGACGAAAACGACAAGCTGAAACTCTTCTTTAAGAAGGGTTGAAAAAGGTATAAAAAGCCGTAAAATATATTTTTCTGGTGTTGTTGTGTTGCTGTTTGAACAACTCTACATGACTTACGAAAGAAATATTGATTAGCTAGCAATAGGAAATGAATCCTCTAACGTAAATATTCTGCTTAAATTATATGAGTGGAACACGATTTTTGTATTTCACAAAATTGACCTTAACTAAACCTGGGAACAGTATATCTAACTCAATATAATATATATATGTTCCTGACTAAACTACATCCCCTATGATCATGCTATCCTTTTAGGATACTTTGTGTCCGAATCGGTTTTCTAACCGCCCACAGTATTCAAAAATATATTAGACAGCCACAGGCCATGTGTCCGAGTGGTTGATGATATTGCGCATTTCATGATCATGTTATTCAGCAATGTAAGATCAACAGAATTTGAACTTCTACTTCTACTGGATAATGGCCACAATCAACAAACTGAATATTTTGCCATGACTTTTGTGCGGAAATTGACTAATATGCATGTTGCGTATTGCATGTTGCGTGTTGCGCGTTGCATGTTGCATGTTGCGTGTTGCAATTTGCGTGTTGCATGTTGCAGAACATTACTGTTATTATAAGGACTAATAAAAACATGTTTCAAACGTAAGATGAGCACCCTTGTCAATGACAATTTTCATAATGTTTTGAAAAATCGATTCAAAAGCATTTACTTAACATAAATGACTTCAATTTTACGTCATGAAATATACTGTATTATTATGCCAGAAAAAATTCTTATCTTCAATACAAGAAGCTTAGATCTTTGCCTGTGACAGTAGTAATTTTACATCAGGAGACCTGTTTTGTGTGTTCCTTCTACAGCTACCAATTGAAATTAGATCAACATGATCAATTGGTATGACTTGGTTTCGTTACTATTACAGTTTGTTACTTCCACTTTTCATTATTTAGTTTGGATTATTGTATATGGGAAAGTTTAGAAAGTGAATGATTTCCAAAGGGCTCCCGCCATTAGATTCATATTTATGTAAAAACTTCTTCTAAGTCTTATAGAGGGATGCCTTAACTTCATTTAAAGGTTCAGTGGAAATCTGTCATCAGGTCTTAAAATTCTGTCTGTCAAATACTCCCCAATCATCTAATAAATTATATCATATACCTTCAAATGTAACTGTTGATGACCTGTGTTGATTAGTTTATTGCAAACTTCATATTACTTTAATTCCATAAAATTGCAAGATAAACTTTGTCCACAGTGCACTGCAGATGCGGTCTATTTACATACAAGAGACAGTTAATTTGATGCAAAACAGAACTGTATTTCAAGTAATCTTTAACATATAAATTGTGAAACAATTTTAACTTTTTTTAAAACATTCTGTCACTTTATGATAAAATTTGGAATTTCATAGATCATGACCAATACGATATACATATCAACGTGATCTTAATACTAATATTTGCGGAAACTAGGTCTATATCTAAAATTACACTTAGACTTACGATAACAGTTGAAGAAAAACAAGGGGTCATCTCAAAATACAAAAAAGTAACAATAGATAGACCTAGTAAAACCAAGTCAGGAATATGACAGCTTTTTTCCTGCATTATTTTAAACATTTTTTCCCCCCTTTTTTTTACAAAAATCAACAAGGATCTGGCGTTTTATAGATATGACTGTGCAAAAAAATGAATGGAAAGCAGATGCGACAATCTTTTTATACGACATAAAACTTATGCAGGACGAATAGACGACTTATATTGTTATAGGGCAACTAGTCGGTATAGTATTATCAAATAATCAGATCCAATGGCATTGAACCATTATAGCCCTATTCACTAACAAAAGTGAAGCGGATCAAGTCATGTAAATTCAATCTTTTGATATATCATTTACAAATATAAATTATCATGTGTTTGCAGAATGAATTGATCATTTTCGAGGATTTTTGCAATAACACATAAGCAGCAACTGATCTTTCACGACCCTTTTCACGATCATCAAATAGTGGTACCCGATCTTTCACGATCCAAAATATAAAATATTTACAAATATTCCCATTTTTGCAAAGCTTCTGATCAAAATAACTTTATGTATAAAAATAAGAAGATGTGGTATAATTGCCAGTGAGACAACTCTCCACCAGAGACCAAATTACATAGAAATTATAACTATAGGTCACGGTAAGAACCATTTTAAACAGTA